AATTCGTAAGCCTTTGAAAAAAATATTCACCAAAAATTCATCAAACGAGACTTTAAACGATAATGGTGATATCAATTGTTTAATAAAAATCGAACAAGAAAGATTCTCTTATATTGAAGTAATTTTGGATGAAGATGAAAATGGCGAAAATTATCATTACTATGATGATAATACAATGTCATTATTTGGTAATAAGAGTCTCGCTAACAATAATAATGTCAACGATGATGATGATTCTATCGAAGATGATGTTACTACTTGTTATTATCCAAATGAAATAATTGGCGATTATGAAGCAAATGAAAATGAAGACGAAATTTTCCCCTATAATGACAAAAAAAAATATGGATATAGATCATGGGTTGGCGACGAGAATAATTATTATCTTAATTATATTAATGACAATAATAAACAACCAATTAAGCGAATGTTTGGTACCTTAAAATACGAGAAAAACTCGAAAAACAAAATTTTCAGGTATTTTATTCTATTAATTTATTAATTTATTAATTCATTAATTTATTTAATTGATTAATTAATTTATCAATATTCAATTAATTAATTAATTAATTAATATCATTTTATTAAATATAAATCTAGATCTAAATCATTATCAATATCATCTTCCTTGTCATTCTCATCCTCCTCATCCTCCTCCTCCTCGTCATCATCCTCATCTTCCGAAGAAAATATTTAATATAATTAATGAACTTTCTTCGCCCCAATTATGTAATAATAATAATAATAATAAGAATACAACAATAACAATTATAACAATAATAACAACAATAACAACAATAACAATATTAACAATAATAATAATGTTTAGGTTTTAAGTTTTATTAATAAAATATAATGTAAATTTATGATAATTTTAAGGTTGCATAAATATCACGCGTTTTTTGATAGACTTACCCATTTCAGTCAAATAATTATTCCCAGAAATTATAAATAAGCCACAATGAACGTTTCAAAGATTTCTGAATCACATAAATACTCCCATAATAACATGCATTTCAATAATATTGAGTAGCGATCCGTAGGATCGGGAAAACTTTATTTAATATGACCGTAAAAATATTCGAAAATAATTTAAAAAAGTGAAGATAATTGCAACAATATAATACGGGTTAACAATTGTCTTGGCCTAACATATGACTAATAGTATATGGGTTAGGGAGCATGTTGTTAAGAAGGTGGGGGATCTTCCCAACGTAACCAATAAAACAGCACGTGGGCATGATTTTTTGAGGGAGGATAGCGTTGAGATATCTGACAATCTAAAAGATATCACTGTATATATCTAAAATTTTACGTGATTAGTGGTTGAAGGGTAGTTGTCATAGTACATATGTAAACTCGATAAGTCGGTCATGTGGGGGTGAGCTCATATGACAGACTTATCGAGTAAACCGACTTATCGAATTAAATTACTTAAATATTAAGAAAAAAGGGTGAAAATTTTGGCCGACTTATCGCGAGACCGACTTGTCGAGTTTACATATCTAAATAGTAAAACCTCGAGTTACCATTTTCTGTTTTTGTGTTACACGTGATCTTGCGATTTTATTGGATAAATTAAATATCACGTTTCCGTGCTTTTTGTTGGTGATTCTGGGATAATACAGTCATAATATTATGTTATTACTGCTATTATTATTATGCTATTACTATTATTGTTATTATACGTTTTATTCATTTATTCGAATTATTCGTTTTGTCCGTTTTATTCGTTTTATTCGTTTTATAAAATATAGGTCTTGTTTATTTAACGAAATAGTATAAATTACAATAATTACATATTACTATTACTATGGTTGCTAACATTATGACTTGAGAACAATATTATTTATTATTTATTATCACTATACACAAGGACTAAGATTGAAAAAAAAAAATTTTTTTATTTGGATTGGATTAGAAATGTGCATATTAATATTAATATCTTATTTTATTCGGATTATTTAATCTTTATTCGAATCATCTCGTTTTATTAGTATTAGTATTAATATTTAAGTATTAGTATCATTGGTTTTTAAAAATTTATATCCAAAAAAGGAATCCCATACATTTTTGGATTGTAAATCATTTCCTAAACAATCAACTTTCCAATAGTTTCGTTTTGATCATGTTATATATACAGTGCGGATCATCTATAATATTACATTGGATTTTTAAAAAACCCACCCCCATTCAATTCAGCTTTAAAAAGGGAGTCTATTAATCTAAAAAAAAAAAATAGTCTCTTTTCATAGATTTTTTTAAATTTGAAAGTTATGCTCAGAAATACAACAATAATTTTCGTGTTACAATATTTTGAATCTCACGACCAAATTCAGTAATGATTTTCTTTTAATGTAATATGTTCGTTAAACTTTTTCATTGTAAATAACTTTTATTTATTAATAAAAAAAAGGAAATAAATAAATCAAAATGCATGTTGTAGAAAATATTCTATGAAAAAATTTTGTTACACGAAATTTACTTAGTCTCGATTTCTTAAATGGATAACAAAATTCGGGATTTTCAAAATGCTAAGGCTCAGCCAATTTTCAGTTTAAGAAAAAACCAGCCGATAAGTTTTGAAGTTTGTATCATGAACAATAAAACTTATCGGTTAAATTTTTTAAAATGAGATATTTTTTTTTGTTTTATTATTTTGAAATTGACCAATTGTTATTATCTCTTAAACGGTCAGAGTATTCTTTAATGGTAACACAAATTAAAGTTTGATCATTCTTATTGCAGCCTGGGATTTTACCATATCGGTATGTTGCTCTGCCGATCAATTCATATATGTTACAAATGAATTCACAAGATGTTACT